AGTAAAATCAAAAACATTTACAACCCTACCTTAAAACTTCTGGGTAGGCTTGTCTAAACCAGAATGTTTTTTTAGCAGGAATGAAGAACGCTTCATGCACTGTCCATTTTCATGCAGCACATAGCTAAATGGTAGAACTCCCTCCCACAAGGGACAGTGATGGCCACCAACCTTTGTTGTTGTTGTTTAGTCGTTTAGTCGTGTCCGCTTCTTCGTGACCCCCTGGACCAGAGCACGCCAGGCCCTCCTGTCTTCCACTGCCTCCCGCAGTTTGGTCAAACTCATGCTGGTAACCTCGAAAACACTATCCAACCATCTCGTCCTCTGTCGCCCCCTTCTCCTTCTGCCCTCCATCTTTCCCAGCATCAGGGTCTTCTCCAGGGAGTCTTCTCTTCTCATGAGGTGGCCAAAGTCTTGGAGCCTCAGCTTCACGATCTGTCCTTCCAGTGAGCACTCAGGGCTGATTTCCTTCAGAATGGAGAGGTTTGATCTTCTTGCAGTCCATGGGACTCTCAAGAGTCTCCTCCAGCACCAGAATTCAAAAGCATCCATTCTTCGGCGATCAGCCTTCTTTATGGTCCAGCTCTCACTTCCATACATCACTACTGGGAAAACCATGGCTTTAACTATACGGACCTTTGTTGGCAAGGTGACATCTCTACTTCCCAAGATGCTGTCTGATGGCTTTAAAAGAGGATTAGAGAAATCCTTGGAGGAGGAGGAGACTATAGATGGCTACTAGCCGTGATGGCTATGTTCTACCTCCTCAGTTGGAGGCAGCAATGCTTCTGAATACAGTACCAGTTGCTGGAAACCTTAGGAGGGGAGAAGGCTCTTGTCCTCGGGTCCTGCTTGTGGGTATGTGTTTGTGAGAACAGGATGGGTCCCCTTTGGCCTGATCTGGCAGGCTCTTCTTACATTCGTAATGCAAAGGAAATACAAAGTGTATGCAAAAGAGAACCGGTCAATTGCACACCATTAGTGGATGGAAAGCAATGACAACAGCAAACACTAACTCTATTTGCTGGATTGATTTCTGTTATGGACATGGGATAAATAAGCGGACATCGTAAATTCCTGATCCCAATTTTATATTGATTGGAATTTCTCTGACATCCCCATTTCCAGGAGGGGACTCTGTTGCAGGCAGCCCAGGACAATTGTAACAACCTGTATTGCATAAAAAGCAGGTGGGTCTCCCGTGCTGGCCGGTGACCACCGGGCGCGAAAGTCCCTTGATGTCACCTCCTTGCCAAAGCCTCACGTATTTTTATTGCCCCCATGGCTCCCTGTCAGGCGTAAGCCGATAGGGCAAGAGCACCCGAAGTGTCTGATTTTAGCCTCTGCATGGCGCTAAGCCAGCCCTACTCTTTGCTTGCTGCTGAGCTTTGGGAATAGGAGCTGGACGCGGCATGGATGCACCGGAGCAGAAATGTCCCCACTAGCTATGCTGCTATCCTGACAAAGCAGGTCGCTCCTGCCCCTGTAAATAATGGATTTCCACAAAGGATCTTTGAAATGTCGGTGCCTACAGAAAAAGGGAGAAGCCTCCTTCTTCCAGGCACAGGGCCGGCAGCACAGGTTGGGCTGATCAGGCACCTGCCGGGGTCCCAAACCAAGGCAGCGGGTCCCACTGACAAGAGCCCCCTCTGGCTGCTGTCTCCTCTCCACTGTTGCAACCTGCTCATCCAACCTTTCTCAACCTGTGGGTCCCCAGATGTTGCTGAACTACAACTCCCATCACCCCTAGCTAGCAAGGCCAGAGCTCAGGAATGATGGGAGTTGTAGTCCAACAACATCTGGGGACCCACAGGTTGAGAACCGCTTTTAGTGGTGGCAAGAAGGAGGCGGAGGCACTCACTGGCAAGCAAGCCGGTGGCAGCAACATTGAGGCAGAGGAGCAGGAACAGATGGCAATGATGGCAGTGGGTGGGTGGGCTCACTGAGGGAGGGAGCCCGCAGGAGACATCTTGTCCAAGGCCACCTGCAAATCTGGAACTGTCAGTGCCCTGACAGACTAGCTTAAAAAAAAATAAGAAATGCATAGGGAGCATTTCTGCATTTACAATCACAGGCTGGTGTTTTTAACTATCTGATATGGATTTTGTCATACTCTAATTTTGAAAGGTGCCATTTATGTGCAGCTCTCTATCCTATCCATTGCTTCATGTGGTTGTCTGGATAACCTGACACTGGGTTTGGTGTTTACAGTCTGTAGATCAACTTGATAGCTAAAACAGGGGAGTCCCTGCATGTAGTCTGAAGATGCTCCTCTGGGAAGTAAAAATAACACAAAAAACAACAAGCCTGCATGTAGAATACTAGTGTGTCAAGGATTCTAGGTAAACTATTTCTACAACATGCTACACTTCTATGTGCGGGGAATTTAAAAAGCATTGTTACAGGGAGAGCTAGGCCTAGTGATCAGAAGAGGGGCAGGCCTCAGTGCTCTGTACAGCTCCTTGCACATGGTTGGCAATCCAAAATAAATTATCAGAATATTGTGGTGTGTTGTTGTTTTTTAAAGAAAATACAAACCTGGCTATTTCCTTCTCTGCTTCCTTGCAGCTATCCTGGGCATGTACACACTCATGAGCAACAAGCAGTATTATGATGCCATCTGCAGCGGCAACATCACAAACACGGAAGGCATAAACAGTGAGTGATTCCTTGGTCTGCATCTTACAGAGGGTGGCAACTGACCAAGGAGTTAGGAGAGACTGTTGCCCGGGAACCAGAAGCAACTGTCAAACTCAAGTGGACATGCTTGGGGGCTAGGGTCCCAATCCTAGGAAGACTAAGCAAAACACTCACCAATGATAACAGGCTTCGAGAGAAGGGGCGTGGCCTGGGAAGGGTCTTGAGAGCTGGAAAGGGAAGACTGGAGAGCCACATTTGACCCCTGGTCCTGAGGTTCTGCCCTCTGTTATTCAAGACACACTCTCTCTTTATTTTATTTCTCTCTCTCTCAGGCGTAGTGCAGCCTGATAAGTACAAGCCTGTCCCAGATGAGCCTCCAAACCCCACAAATGTGGAGGAGACCTTGACGAAAATCCAGAGCAACGACAAGGATCTCGAGGAAGTGAACCTTAATAACATTAAGGTCAGTGCCGAGTCCCAGGAGGACACACTTGGGTGTTTAAGCAGGCAACAGATAGAACAGCCCCTGTTTGGGAGTCTGTCACTTGTCAGAAGAGCAGATGCTTTGAAGACGTTGATGGGCTCAAGCATGGAGGCTGCTTTATATGGAGTTGGATCCTTGGTCCACCTAGCTCAATATTGTCCACACTGACAGGCAGCAGCTCTGTTTCAGAGAGAGTTCCTTCCAGGCCCTACCTGGGGATTGAACCTGAGACCTTCTGCATGCAAAGCAGATGCTCTGCCACTTTCCTCTAAGTGTAAGCTAAAGTTCCAGTTCTCGTGGTTATGAACAATTAAAAGGATTAATTGTCAGAGGATAGGGGTCTGACCAGTGTGAGAGTGGGCCGGTCCTTCAAAGGTTAAGAAATACGTACAATGGCAGACCTTCCAAGTGTCCCTATTTTCCAGGGACGTCCCAGATTTAGAGAAGCTGTCCCGGTTTCTGATTTGATCCTGGAATGTCCCGCTTTTCCTAAGGACGTCCCTGTTTTCATTGGAGAAATGTAAGAGGGTATGGAGTTATCCAAACTGCCAAGCCGTCTGAAGGCAATCCTGTATGGGGAAGTTTTTCTAATGTTTGATATTTTATTATGTTTTAATATATGTTGGAAGTTTCCCAGAATGGCTGGGGAAACCCAGTCAGAGCGTGGGGTATAAATAGTAAAACTCTCATTAGGGAATGGGATGTCCCTATTTTCATCAGAGAAATTACATGTGCCTCAAGGTGATTTACAAACTTACTAAAAGCAGCTAAAAATACTTTTAAAAACAATACAAAACAACAGCTATGTCTCAAACTGTGATGCTGTCCCACAGAACCAGCACAGCCACACTGAAAGCCCTGCTCTAAGCAACTGTGGATATTTTAGGGATTTGAAGAAGAAACTCTCCTGCAGGATGCGGTGACCTACGGCTTTTCCACACCACCCTGTGAAAGTGTCATTAAGCATATTCTAAATCATTTTTGTGCTACTACCAGTTAGGAGAAAAATGAGTTTTTGCTTTGGGACATGCGAGATGTCAGCAGGAGAGGGGTAACATCATGTGGTTCCTCACCACCAAATGCAGGTAAGGTTTGAAGCGAGATTTTGGGTGGTGCAGATGGGCCTTTCTTCATTCCAACAGGACATTCCCGTTCAGACGCTGATAGAAATCTGCGACTCCATGAAAAGAAACACTGTCATCAAGAAGCTTAGCCTGGTTGCAACCCGGAGTAATGACCCAGTGGCGCACGTAAGCTTTGAGGCTGCTCCTCCTCTGAAAAACTTCCTTGCCTGTTAACAGGTGATCTGGAGCGTTGGCTAGGGTTGAACCCTAACAGGGAACTGGCGAGGGAGAACAGAGTTGGAGAAGGATGACTCCCTGTGATCACTCATGGAACCTTCTAGGCTGGAATAGCCCCAATTTAGGACAACTTATGTAGGCTTTGTGGTTAACTAAATATTGGGTGGACAGGACCAAAACAGAATCGGGACCAGAGCCCTGATTTAGTCCTACTTAAGCAGGGATGGGAGAGTCTGCAGCCCCCAGATGATGCTGAACTAAAACTTCCATCAGTCATGGCCAGCCTGGCCTTTGCTCTGGCTTTTCTTTATTTTATTCTATAAAATTTATATACCGCATGATTGTAAAACAAACAAACAAACCCTCAAAACTGTTACGAAAAGAATGGAACAATCAAATGATCAGTTAAAGAAAGGTTGCAAGCAACTATTTGAAAACACTCAAAGCAAATTAAAATCAACAATAAGCTAAAAAGCGGGTGAAAGACATGCCAGTGTTCTACACATCCAGATAGTCTTATCTAAACAAAAAATATTTTTAGCAGGAGCCGAAAAGAGTACAGCGATGGCACTTACCTGATATCAGGAGGCAGTGAGTTCCAAAGGGATAGTGGAAACATCAAATGCTGGGGTAGTTCAACACCTTCCAGACTTTGCTGGACTCCAGCTCCCCTCATCCTCTGTGACCGTTGCCCTCGCTGGCTGCTGGAGCTGCTGGGAGTTGGAGACAGTGGCTGAAGGCAATACAGTAGTACTTTGCTTCTCGAAAGGCTTAATTGTGAAACAAATCGGCTCCTGAACGCCGCAAACCTGGAAGTAAGTGTTCCAGCTGCAAACGTTTTTTGGAAGCCAAACGTCCAGCGCGGCTTCTGCGCCTTGGTTTTCGAACGGTTTTGGGAGTCGAACGGACTCCCGCAACGGATTAAGTTTGAGAACCAAGGTACCACTGTACTTGCAAGAGTTCCTGAACTTTGCCTGTTTCTCCGCCCCCAGGCTGTGGCCGAGATGCTGAAGGAGAACAAGACCCTTCAGAGCCTCAACATTGAATCTAACTTCATCACCAGCGCTGGGATGATGGAAGTCATTAAAGCCATGAAGGAGAACTCCACGTTGACTGAACTCAAGGTGGACAACCAGGTTAGCTGGCCTCCGTTTTGGGGTCAGAGCCCCTTGCACTTTCCCTCTGTTCTGCAGCCGGATGAAACGGCGAGCAAAGGCAGCTGGTCTCTCTGCAGCGGCGATGGAAAAGACCTGCTTGCCTTCTCTCCCTCTCCTGGAGATGAGCAGCCCTAGACCTGCTTTGCTTCAGCAAGGTGGCTGCTTCATGCATCCTCAAACCATGCTCTGGTTACATGCATGAATTTGCAAAGTTCAGCCTGCAACACCCTCTTGTCTCCTCGTAAACCCAATGTCATCTTTTAAAACAAAAAACAGTAGTGTGGGGCCCCTCCTCGCTTCCTTCACACTACACACTTCTCTTTCTTCCTTCTCCCCACACAGCGCCAGCGACTGGGCGACTCGGTGGAGATGGAGATGGCCGCCATGTTGGAAAATTGCCCTTCCATTATCCGCTTTGGTTATCACTTCACGCAGCAAGGACCAAGGGCCAGAGCCTCCATCGCGATAACCAAGAACAACGAATTACGTAAGTGGCGCTGGCTCGGCGACCCCAGTGGCCTGTCCTGATTCTTGAATGGATAATTGAGTGGTCATTTTTCGTGGGTGGACATCATGGCTGGCTATCCTGTTCCCGATGTCACTGGGAAGGCCACAAGTAGGGCCAGAGGGCAACAGTGGTCTCGCCACCTGTGATTCCCAGTAACCTCTATTCAGAGGCATACTGCCTCCAGCAATGGGGGGAAAACATGACTGTCATGGCTACTAGTAGCCTTTGATAGCCATACTGTCCTCAATGGATTTGTCTAATCGCTACCTCTTGTGGGAATGAGTTCCAAAGATGAATTACGCTCTGTGCAAAGAAGTTGTGCTGGTCCCAGGGGGAATAAGGTACTATTACCGTAGGCCAAGATCAGTCCAGAGTCTCTAGCAGGGTAGATGATCACTAGATGAGACGCGAGGTCCGAGACAGGGAGCCAGGCGGGGTAACAGGAACGATGGTAGGGCAGAAGCAGGAAGCCAGGCGAGGAACAAGAACACTGGTAGGGCAGAAGCAGGAGTCCAGGCGAGGAACAGGAACACTGGTAGGGCAGAAGCAGGAGTCCAGGCGAGGAACAGGAACACTGGTAGGGCAGAAGCAGGAATCCAGGCGAGGAACAGGAACACCGGAGAGTCAGAAACAGGAAGCCGGGCGAGGAACAGGCACACTGGGAGTGCCGAACAAGGACTGGGTAAAACAGGTACTCCACAACGACGTTGCTCCCGCAACCTGGGACCGGGCTGCCTGACCTTTATCTTCTTCTAAGGCTGGGGGCGGTCCCGGCCCCCAGAAGCCCCGCCTCTCTTGGCCTTAAGGCGAGCACTCCTCCTGGGAGACACCAGTTCCCTTCGCCTCTCTGCCCTAAGCCTCTGCAGATCAGGAGAGGCCGAAGGGTTACTGGGCCCCGGGGGAGGCTTACCTGTAGCCACTGAGTCTTCCAGCACCTCTGGGGCCTGAATGATTTCACCTGGTGCCTGCTCTTGAGTTTCCTCAGCATCTAGGCCTTGCCCCAGTTCAGCCGGCCCTGGAGGCGGGGACTCCTGTGCCGGCTGGGATTCCTCCGGATCGCTCTCAGACTCGGAATCCCAGGCCATCACAGAAGTCCTTCCCTTTGTCTGCCCCAACTTGCTCTGCATGCGAAAAGTCCCAGCTTCAACTCCCACGAAATTAATTCGTTCTGCAAGTTTTTTCTTCTTGCGAGTTTTTCGTCTTGCGAAGCACGGTTTCCCATAGGAATGCATTGAAAATCAATCAATGCGTTCCTATGGAGACCGTCCGGGGACAGAGGGGAAGCGCTGCGCGCCTTCCCCTCTGTCCCCGGACCTGTTTTAAAGCAAGGGGCAGTGGGGAGAAGATTGCTTCTCCCCGTTGCCTGCCCCGCAATCTCTGGGGACAGAGGGGAAGGTGTGCGTGCCTTCCCCTCTGTCCCCGGACCTGTTTTAAAGCAAGGGAAGGGGCAGCGGGGAGAATCGCTTCTCCCCGTTGCTGCCCCTTGGTTCAAAAGGGGTCCGGGGAGAGAGGCGCGCGCCTTCCCCTCTGTCCCCTCTTTTGAAGCAAGGGGCAGAGGGGAGAAGATCGCTTCTCCCCGTTGCTGCCCCTTGGTTCAAAAGGGGTCCGGGGACAGCGGGGAAGACGTGCTGCGCTTCCCCGCTATCCCCGGAGCTTGCGGGGCAAGCTTCGTTTTGCGAAGCAAGCCCATAGGGAAATGCGTCTTGCGAAGCAGCTAACAAAAAACTCCTTCGTCTAGCGAGTTTTTCGTCTTCCGAGGCGTTCGTCTTGCGGGGTACCACTGTATCCAACCCACTGTCCTAAACCCCAGACAACTGCTGTCGGTCAGTGTAGAATCTACTGAGCTAGATGGGACCCCAATGGCCTGACGGGGTATATAAGGCAGCGTTCAGTGTCCTCACATTGCTCGTCTTTCCTTTGCAGGCCGCAAGCAGAAGAAAACATAATGGCCCACCCCCTGCGACCGAATCCAGAGTGCCCTTAAGCTTCCTCATGTGCCTCTAAGCAGCCTTTTAAGCTCTGCCTGCCTCCCAGAGACAGAGTTTTGCCAACAGCAAGGATTTTTATTTTATTTCAAGAAGAGAATTTCTCGGAGAGATTGGCCCTGCTGTTCCCCCCTCACCTTGGCGACCGACAACCCCCCCAACCCCAATTTCTTGCAATCTCAGGTTCTTTCTTCCTCCGAATCCAGGCTCCCCGTCTTTTGATTACCTCTGTAAATAAGAGAGATTTCGGAGAGACGCCCGCCCTGCCCCAAAGAACTGGCTTTGTTCTCCGCTAAGGACCAAAGGCAGTTGCAATCTTCCTATCTTTCCTAAACAAGCTACTATTATTAAATGATTCGGCACCATCTCGCTGATCGAAACCTGAATACGTATAATATCTCAAATTTCTTGGGTCGACAGCTTGTATTTGGAAATGCTTGCCCCTTTCTGTAATGGGCAGCCCCACACCTGAGACGTCGCCTCTTCCCCAAAGCCTCCCATCACCTTTTGGGAAGCCCAGATGGGTGGGGTATAAATAATAAAATAATTATTATTATTATTTTGGTGCTGCTGGCAACGGTGACTGGCACCAGACCCAGCCTTCATTTTCCCATATGGGTTCTGCACTTGTGCCCGTAAGCACAGCATCAGAAATAATAAATTTTCTGATGATGAGCCTGGCATTTGGGGTTTACACTAGCGCACAGACCAGGTGGAAATCAATTTCATTCATTCTGGGTTGGAATGTTCTGGAAAATATGTCCCAGAATTGTTCTGGAAAAGATGGGCAGGTGGGGAGATTCATCTCCTGACACACCAAGTTTGAAGGTGTCTAATTAAATCTAGGTCCTTTCGCCTGCTCTTCTACTACAAAAGGGAAATTTGAGATAAGTTTGAGGTAAATTTAGCAAGGAAAGAGCATCAAAAGAGGCAGGCCTGGAGATCTGCCCAAGCCGCCCTCACAAAAGTCGGCCAACAATGGCCTCACACTCCTGTCAGCTAATATCTGCCATCAGATGCCACATGGAGTGGAGAAACCAGGATCACAGAGTCTCCAAAATGTCATTTTGGCATTTTAAGAGGCTGGACAAAGAAGAAAGAGGTTTCCTTTCCCCCCTTTTTAAAAACGGAACTATAGCGGAAACAGAACACCAAACGAGCCCCAGCGCCAACAGGATCAAATTCAATTTTTTCCTCAGCGGTGCCAGGTGTGCGCGTGAAAATATGGAAACTGAGGGCACCCAGTTGGGCCTCGGGAGTCAACAAACACTCCTAAATTGGCAAAGGCAACCGCAGGCCAAAAGGATGACGGTTTTTATGGGCCTAATGAGATATTAGTCAGGAAGCCATTTCAGAGTGCCTGAGGGCATCGTAAACAAATTTGTTTCCCTGCACTTGTTTGGCGTGACAGAGGTCTGCCAGGCAACAAGGCCTACAGTCCAACGTCCTCACAGACGGCCTTGATGACGGCCGCCATCTTAGGTGGAAACTGGTGTTTGCAATTCCCTTAGCGCCACTAGGGCTAACCAAGTTCTGTCATAAAAAGTGACAGGAGAAAAGTAATATAACTGCCCTCTGGCAGCATGATTTACCTCAGACGGGCAAGGCAAAGATGAGAATGAAAAATGAGGAAACAAGGGCTGTGAGGGAAATAGTATAGAAACCAGGACAGATGAGGGAGACCCTTCTGGAACATTCTGGTGGCTCTGGACCAGTATTATTGAATTAAGCTGCCCTGTCTCACCTCAGCTTGCTGAAGGAGGGAGATATAATAATAATAATAATAATAATAATAATAATAATAATAATAATAATAATATAATAATTTTATTTATATCCCGCCCTGCCCAGCTGAAGCCGGGCTCAGAGTGGCTAACAACAATAAAATAATACAGCATTCTAAAATCAATTCATTATAAAATCAGTTCAAATCAAATTAATGGCATCCATTGGGCTAGAGTTCTGTGAGGAACTTGAGATATGACTTGAGGGGAAGCTGTTTTATTACAAAATGGTGGATGGTGTTCACAGAGATAATCTTTCTCAAAGCCAACCCCATGACGTAGACTGAGCTGTGAGAAAGAGACTGGGCAGGATCCCTGTGAGAGTTTCATGGCTGAGTCTGTGGGATTTGAACTCGGCTCTTCCTAGGTGAAAGTATGGCATGAGATTTTGCTACCCAAAAAGGGTTTTCTTTTTCCAGGCACAAAAACGGGAAACACCTTCAGTGGGAACCAACACACTGATATTTAACAGAAAGGCAAAAATCAGATGAGTGTGTTGAATGAAAGGCGTGTGTTCCAAAATCCCTGGTTTGGTATCTGGAGAATCCAGCGCACTTAGAAGAACAGCTTTCACTTCAAAGCCACACTAACCAAGTTTCTAGTCCTCGGGACTGAAGAAACAGCCTGAAATGATGGAGGCACACTCTCTGGGCTGTCTATGTAGGGGCCGAGGGTAGGATTCCCATTGCTTAGGCACTGCCCCATGAGAGCCAGTGTGGTATAGTGGTTAGAGTTCAATGGAGATGGCCTAACTCTGACCCTATACAGTCAGCCATGAAACTCCCTGAGTGACCTCGGGACAGCTACTCTCTTCTCTCTCGGCCAAACATACCCCACAGGGTTGTCGTGAGGATAAAGTGGGAAGAACAAGAAGGGCTGACTTCTCCATTTTGAATTCCTCAGGAGGAGGATAAAGAAATAGCTAGCAGCTGTCAAATAAAACAATGCATTTCCAACATCCTTTATTTGAAGTCAGGATCTGGCTTTCCATTAACTCTGCTTGGCGCCCGATGAAGAAAAGTAGATTTATTTATTTTTTTAAAAATAACCATTTTTGCAATACAAACCACCGCACAAGACACATTCAACAAAAACCATAACACTAACACAATTTGACAATTCAAATTTGAATACTGATATACTTATTACTACACCTTTTTAACAATTTCCCCCCACCTCTCCTCCCCCTACTTTCCACACCTGTCCGCCTTATCACTTAAATATTCCTTCCACATTTCTTCATATTTATCCATTCTTAATTTGCGTCGACATGCAATTCGTTCATATGTAGCTAGTCTGTCCATATTATCAATCCATGTGCTCAATGGAATCTTTTTGCGGCTCTTCCAACTCATCAAAACAAATTTTTTTGCTTCCAATATGGCACGGCACATCCATTTTTTTTGACCCCTTGTAATCTCCCACATTTCCGGAATATAATTTAGAATTCAATTCAATTCCCCTAAATAACAATTCTTTTTATTACTCTTGCTATAGCTATCCTCACCCCACACCAAAATGATCTTATCACCGGGCAGCTAATCATCATATGTACTAAGTTCACATTTTTACTCCCATGTCTCCAGCAGTAGAAAAGGAGATTTAAAAAGCCGCCCGGCGCTTTATATAATAGGAAGCGCAAGCGGCGTCAAGGAAGGGTGTCCCGTCAGGAATCTTGCAAGGAGCCCTGCCACTTTATAGAGAGTTATTCCAAGCAGGTGGTGCTGCGGAGCAAGATTGTGGGGAGGGGGAAAGAGAAGAATCCCCCCCACCCTCCCGATGTATTTATACCCCCCGCTGGGATCAGCAGACGAAATGGACACCCAAGGGATCGGGTTGCACGAAATCTTGGCCCAGGCCCCGCAAGGAGGAGGAGGAGCAGGAGAAGGCGTCCCGGTCTTAAATTAGGGGCTTCCCTTCCCCTCCCCAGGCCGGAGGTGTCACATGTGTCCCGCCTGTCACTGCAGCCGGCTTCTCGCGGCTTGTCCTCCGTGGTTGACATGGACAGCTGTTAGGCTTGGGGGGGGGGGTTGGGAAGAGTTAGGTTAGGCGGGTAAAAGTCACCAGCCCCGAAGTTGACGCAAGCGGGCAATGGAAACGACCCACGTCAAGAAGCGGAGGTGGCGTCAGAGCCGACGGCAAAAGGGGTGTGTGCGAAAACCACGGGTTGGCCTCCGCAACCCGCAATGTATCACAATTGCAGCATAGCTGTCAACTTTCAGATTTGAAAATAAGGGATCAGCAGCCTCGAAAATAAGGGATCAGCAGCCTCACCTGTCCCAGGGACAGTCTACGGGATATCTTAACAATCTGGAATAGCAGCGAGAAACGGCGCTGGAATAAGGGAATTTCCCGCAAAAAAAGGGAATGACCAGCAGCAGAGGACGGGGCGGTGGAGTCAATGCTAGGCTGACATGAAGGCACTCTTTTGCCTCCGAGACCCACTCTTGCTCAGAGACAGTGGAAGGAATGGGGCCCTTTCTCTTTGGCTTTATACCCACTTATAAAGGCCCACAATTAGACACCAACCATCTGCACAGGGCTTATTTAAAAATTATTTATTATGGGACGCGGGTGGTACTGTGGTCTAAACCACCGAGCCTCGTGGGCTTGCCAATCAGAAGGCTGGCGGTTCGAATCCCCGCAACAGGGTGAGCTCCCGTTGCTCTGTTCCAGCCAACTTAGCAGTTCGAAAGCACGCCAATGCAAGTAGACAAATAGGTACCACTGCGGCGGGAAGGTAAACGGTGTTTCCATGCGCTCTGGCATTTGTCACGGTCCTCCGTGCACCAGAAGTGGTTTAGTCACGCTGGCCACATGACCCAGAAAGCTGTCTGTGGACAAACGCCAGCTCCCTCGGCCTGAAAGCGAGATGAGCGCTGCTGCAACCCCATAGTTGCCTTTGACTGGATTTAACTGTATGTGGATTTCAAAGCATCCCTGCGTCTTTGAAGGTCCTGGCTCTGTGGACACCGCTTGTATTAGTGGACCCAGACGTTTTCCGTTGGCCTCCTCTGGATCACACATTTAAGCCTCCTTCCTGAAGAGCCCCCTGTCCAATGCTTTGCTCTGTCCCCTTTGCAATGTCGTGTGAGCCAAGTGGTAGTCAAGAGGTCTGCCTGCCTCCCTGGTGTGCCTCTGTGAGATCAGGTCAGCTCGGCCAATGGCCAGCCGGAGGCTGTGCTGCCAACAAATTCCTTTTTGCAGGGTTCAGTATAGTGTTGGGGAATCTCAGGGCTAGGTGCCAAAGGCAGCCCTCTGGGCCTCTCGACCCGATCCTCAGGGATCTCCCCAGGCCACACTTCATGCCCAGCCCTCCCTTGAGCACTTTTACCTGGTTGGAATGTGTCTTCCAGGGGCAATTGTACCTTTTGCTTACCTGGACAGAGACGTGGAACCAGCTGTACAAAGTGGTCACTTTGGACTGGGGCCCTGCCCATTACCTGCATGTGGCCCTCAGAAGGCTCCTCATGGGGAAATGTGGCCCTTGAGCAGGAAAAGCTTCCCCAACAATGCAGTAGAGGCTGAACACCAGTGCTGCCTAGAGATTAGTGCTTGGGGTAAATGAAATGTTGCTTCAAGTTCTTACTTTTTTAAAAAACAAAACATACTGTCTTTATTTTAAAAAAAGGGAAAAGCAGGGTTGGCCAGGGTTAAGCAAGCTTTTCAAAAGCAGTGTTTTTCATGTTTGGTGCAGTCTGATTGTTGGACTACAACCAGGGAGACCCGGGTTCAAATTTCCATTCAACCACAGAAGTTGCGCGCACACACACACACTTTCTCTTGCAATCCAGCTACCTAGCAGGGTTGTTGTGAAAGGCAGTCTCTATGCAGTGAAACAAAATCAGAGACTGTAACCAACAAAGGAAGTAACCAGACAATGTAACCTGTGTTCATATCTCCCCCTTTTTTTAAAAAAATAAACTATCCTATATACAGTATGTGGTAAAAAATAAATTTTGCTCTTGAATGAGTGGTCCCTGAATGTCCAGCCAACAGCACATTTCCAAGGGTCCCCCCTCAGAAAGTAAGCAACCATGTTGTCAAGATGGAGTCAGTGCAGGAGGTTCCTCTTCGTCAGAGTCAAATTCCACATTCTCGTCTTTTACCCACTTGCCAGAACCATCTTGGACCCAACCAGAACTGCCAGAGAAGGGAAGGAAATAAACACATCTGAGAAGGGGATGCTCATTTTTCTGGAATAATGCATCTAAGCACACTTACAGAGCACAATATTAAACTGCACTGCCGTACACCATGGCTGAGATACTTCTGTAACGTTTAAGTGCAAGACAGCCACGTAACATTAATTAAATGTTTCTTGTTCAGAACACACAAAGAACCTGCCTAATGCAGAGTTAGACCAGCAAGCTCTGTGTTGTCTATGCTGACAAACAGTGGCTCTTGAGGGTTTCGGGTAGTTTCTCCCAGCCCTATCCGGAGATGCCAGCTTCTGTTTGCTGCAAGCGGTGGTGGTGCTTTACATTACTCAGTTTCTCCTTTTTTCCTGGTACAGTGGTACCTTGGGTTACATACGCTTCAGGTTACATACGCTTCAGGTTACAGACTCCGCTAACCCAGAAATAGTACCTCAGGTTAAGAACTTTGCTCCAGGATGAGAACAGAAATCGTGCTCCAGCGGCGTGGGAGGCCCCATTAGCTAAAGTGGTGCTTCAGGTTAAGAACAGTTTCAGTAAAACCTGATCACCCTCCCCTGCAAAACCAGGTCTTGAAACAAAGAAAACAGTGCAGACGCAACTTTGCTCCCCTGATGCTTTTTCGGCTCCTAGCCTGCAAATCTAGTACCTGTGGTCCCACCACTTAGTTAACACATCTTCTGGGCAACCTCTAACCTACCTTTTCAGCCTCAGATAGTGTTCCAAAGCCTGGCGCTTCTCCGGGGTAACATCACCAGTGTCAGAATGAGGTGCTGCACCGTGAGGCGCTTTCCTTTTGCGGCTACGCTCCTTCCCCAGAGCTGCAGATCTTTTCACTGATTCTGGAGTCAAGAGAGATTGATATTCAGGAGTTGCATCTCCTTGCTCAGTGGCAACTTGGGACGGGGCTGGCGTCCGTAAAATCCTGCCCACTTCACAATAACAATTGCAGATGAGGCAACTGTATCCACACCGGCAAGTCCGTCTCCTCCTTCTGGATTGATTTGGGAGTGTAGACCAGAAGAGGAAGTTGAAAGTTGAACGGCACTCCTGGCTTGCCAGCAGCACATGTGAAACAGATCTAGGGGTTTTAGCAAACCACAAGCTTAACACAAGTCAACAGTGTGATGTGTGCAGAGGAGGGCGACCAAGATGGTAAAGAATCTGGAGACCAAGTTTTATGGGAGTGGCCGCCGGGACCACACAACACTGGTCCTGAGAGATCTGCATTGGCTCCCAGTATGTTTCCGAGCACAATTCAAAGTGTTGGTGCTGACCATTAAAGCCCTAAACGGCCTCGGTCCAGTAGAGCTGAAGGAGCGTCTCCACCCACATCATCCAGCGCGGACACTGAGGTCCAGCTCCAAGGGTCTTCTGGCGGTTCCCTCATTGCGAGAAGTGAGGTTACAGGGAACCACCCTGTGGAACGCCCTCCCTTCAGATGTGAAGGAAATAAGCAGCTATCTTATCTTTAAAAGACATCTGAAGGCAGCCCTGTTTAGGGAAGTTTTTAATATTTAATACTGTATTGTTTTTAACACTTGATTGGAAGCTGCCCAGAGTGGCTGGGGAAACTCAGCCAGATGGGCGGGGTATAAATAATAAATTATTATTATTATGAGGACAGTTGAACCTGCAGTTTAATCTGCAGAAAAAAGCCTGAAAGGTGACATGACAGCCGTCTTCAAGTACATGAAGGGCTGTTACATGGAAGATGAAACGAGCTTGTTTTCTGCTGCTCCAGACAAGAACGGACATTCCAACGAAACCTTAGGAAAAATTTCTGATGGCAAGAGCTGTTCAACCGTGGAACGAACTCCCTTAGAAAGTTGTGGACTCTCCTTCTTTGGAGGCTATTAAACAGAGGTGGGGTGGCCCAACTGTCAGTGCTTCTTTAATAATAATAATAAATTTTTATTTATACCCCACCCTCCCCAGCCAAGACCGGGCACAGGGCGGCTAACAACCAATAATAAAAACAAGTTGATTAAAATACAATTTAAAAGATTAAGATACAATATTAAAACAATTAGGGAGCAATCTCATCATAGGAGGAGAAAGGAAAAAGAAAAAGGGGGAGGGAATCAAATGGATTCTGAGCCAAAGGCCAGGTGGAACAACTCTGTCCTACAGGCCCTGTGGAAAGAGATCAGATCCCGCAGGGCCCTGGTCTCATGAGACAGAGGGTTCCACCAGGCCGGAGCCAGTGTTGAGAAGGCCCTGGCTCTGGTTGAGGCTAATCTGACTTCCTTAGAGCCCGGGACCTCTAGGGTGTTGCTATATATGGACCTTAAGGTCCTCCGTGGGGCAGACCGGGAGAGGCGATCCCGTAGGTACGAGGGCCCTAGGCCGTGAAGGGCTTTAAAAGTCAAAACCAGCACCTTAAATCTGACCCTGTACTCCACCGGGAGCCAATGCAACTGGAAAAGCACTGGGTGAATATGCTCCCATGGCAGAGACCCCGTGAGGAGCCTCGCTGCAGCATTCTGCACCCACTGGAGTTTCTGAGACAGCTTCAAGGGCAGCCCCACGTAGAGCGAATTACAGTAGTCAAGCCTGGAGGTGACCGTAGCATGGATCACTGTGGCCAGGTTGGGGCGGGAAAAGTAAGGGATACCTTAGCTGTGATACCTGTGTTGAAAGGAGTTGGAATAGATAACTCTTGGGGGTCTTTTCCAACTCTACAATTCTATGATTCTACACTGGCAGTGGGGATTTAGCCTGGGGGCTTTTGCATGCAAAACAGTGCTCTGTGACTGAGGTACAGCCTGAAGCCAATGAGGAATCACCACAACCAAACTGCTCCAAAGCAATTTTCTACCTGACGTGGAAGTCGCGCACCCAGGCAAATCCACAGCAGAAGTGGCTTCTGGCAAAGGAAGTCTATGTTCTTCTGCACACTTGGAGTTCTTGGGTTTTGACGACTCACTTTCTTCAGACTCTCTGGAGCTTGCATCTGTCCTTGAGGTACTGGGGGCAATGTCACTACTTCCTGCCACCCTGTGCCAAATAAATCAGTCATGCTGAGGCCTTGTAGAAAGTCATCTTCCTTATATTATTGTTGTTGTTGTTGTTAATAATAATAATAATAATAATAATAATAATAATAATAATAATAATAATTTATTTATACCCCGCCCATCTGGCTGGGCAATAATAATAATAATAATAATAATAATAATAATTTATTTATACCCCGCCCTATTTATACCCCGCCCATCTGGCTGGGCTTCCCCAGCCACTCTGGGCGGCTTCCAACAAAATATTAAAATACAGTAATGCATCAAACATTAAAAGCTTCCCTAAACAGGGCTGCCTTCAGATGTCTACTAAAAGTCTGGTCGTTGTTTTCCCCTTTGACATCTGGTGGGAGGGCGTTCCACAGGGCGGGCGCCACCACCGAGAAGGCCCTCTGCCTGGTTCCCTGTAACGTGGCTTCTCACAGCGAAGGAACCGCCAGAAGGCCCTCGGCACTGGACCTCAGTGTCCGGGTAGAATGATGGAGGTGGAGACGCTCCTTTAGATATACTGGACCTTCAGATATACTTCTTCAGATATACTTGTTGTTATTATTATTGAGATTCAATGCAGTGTAGTGGTTAAAGCCCTGTTTCTCAAACTTAGGTTCTCAGCTATTGTTGGACTACAACTCCCATCATCCCTACTAAGCAGGACCAGTGGTCAGGGATGATGGTGGTTGTAGTGCAACAACAGCTGGGGACCCAAGTCTAAGAAACACTGGCGCATGTTGGTCTGGGGTTCAAATCCCCCACCTGGCCATGAGGATCCCTGGGTGACCCTGGGCCAGCCACTACTTCTCAGCCTAAACTAGGGTTGTTATGGGGTTTAAATGGGCAGGGGGACCACATATACTACCTTGAGTTCCTTTCAGAAAAAGGATAAAAAGGTAAAGGTACCCCTGCCCGTACGGGCCAGTCTTGACAGACTCTAGGGTTGTGCGCCCATCTCACTCAAGAGGCCAGGGGCCAGCACTGTCCGGAGACACTTCCGGGTCACGTGGCCAACGTGACTTCGCTGCTCTGGCGAGCCAGAGCCGCATACGGAAACGCCGTTTACCTTCCCGCTAGTAAGCGGTCCCTATTTATCTACTTGCACCGGGGGGTGCTTTCGAACTGCTAGGTTGGCAGGCGCTGGGACCGAACAACGGGAGCGCACCCTGCTGCGGGGATTCGAACCGCCGACCTTTTGATCGGCAAGCCCTAGGCGCTGAGGCTTTTACCCACAGCGCCACCCGTGTCCTTCAGAAAAAGGATATAGATGCCATAAATATTAATCAGACATTATCTAAAGGTTTCAAAGCAACTTTAAATACATAAATTTAAATGCATTGTCCAGAAAGAAATAGTCTGTGTAACAGCAACCGGAAGCGTCAGCTGCACACTAGTAAATAATAATTATAAATAATAATGTTTTATTTATTTAGTAACACAGTAACAACATCTTAGACTATCAAAAGGCTCGGGACGAAATGGTAAACCTTTACCTGGTACCAAAAAAAAAATGTCAGTGAAGGTGCCAGGTGGACTTCGCTGGGGAGAGGATTCCACAGACAAGGAGCCACCACTGAAAAGGCACTGCTCTCCCTTGTCACAATCCTCTGAGCCGGCCTCAGAGAGGGAACCTAGGGAAGTTCCTCAGAAGGAGATCTGAGGCCACCGGGTGCCACTCCCCAGCCAATGGGGAACATGGACACCATCCACATTAAGGTTCATGGGGCCACGGTTTGAGAGCAAAGCACATTACCTGTTGCGCCGGCAGCAGCTGCTATAAGGGACGTTTTTCAGCAAAGCGTTGTGGGCGATCTTCCTGGTCTCCACAAGCAAAGGTGCAGGGCCTGGACTCACCTAAAGAAAGAGGGTTTATCAATTTATTTATGAGTATTTTCTTATGAAATGTCTCAAATCAATCTAGCAATAAAATCATCAACACTAAAAACCACACACACAAACACATTTGTACAAGAAAACGTAGCCTAGTAGCAGAGCACCTTCTTTGGAGAGCGGCTGCCAATCAGTGTAAGCAAGACTAGAGGGATCTGACTCTGTACAAAGCAGCCTCCTCTGTTCCAATTTATATCGACCCTTTCTTCAGAACCACGAGGACTGGAATCGTATTTATTTTAAAGGGCAAACTATAGCTTAGTGGCAGATCTTCCATGCTAATGTTGCTCTCTGAAAGTCTTGCTGAAGTCTGTGGGACTCATGAGCCCAGGATTGCAGTGGAAGAAAACTCAGCCGACACAGAGGCTGCCATTCTAGTTTGCAATTCTTAGCAACTAAGAAGTGGCAAGAAGCATGCAGACTTACCTGGGCACCAGTTTCTTCTGCTTGGAGGTACGCCTGGTGGCATCGTTTCTGGACCTCGCTCTCGAGCGAACGTTTCTTCCCATAGAACTTCTGCAAACCTTTTACAAAGTGAGAGACAGAGGACAGAAGAACATGGCAGGGTCTCGGTTCAAATCTCTGGGCTGCCTTGGTTAAAGCAAAATCTCTACGCCTCAGTCTTCCTCATCTGTAAAATGGGACCGGACCGCCTTACTTGACCATTGCGAGGATGAATAAAACTACTGCAAATTAAAAGTGCCGCAGAATAACTGCAGCAATGATTAAAAACAAATCCAAGACAGGCAGCCACATGGCTGGCAATGTTAATTTTCAGCCACCCTTCGACCTCTCCAATTTTGGTACCGGGTAGCACACCTTTCCTCGCACACAGATCCCTTCTTTTACTACCCCGAGCAGCAAATTGTGCAGTGACTGAAAACCAATGGAGCAATGAGAGCAGGGAGATGGCCTAGCTCCCCCACCACAACAGTGCTCTTAGCAACGTGGTATAAAGCTTGGGTATTATCTGCTCAGAAGGTTGGATGAGGGAGTGTGGGAGCATTGAGGGCTCAATAAAAGCTTCCGCAGACTTACTGATGAGGTGCTTCTTTCCAGAACGGTGGACCGTGAGCATGTCGAGAGTGTCAAAAACTGGACGGTGGAAGCAGACAGCGCAGGCATATCTGCTGGGGCGAAGGAACGAGCAAAGAGAATTGAATTAGAACTTACTCCATTGCACTCAGTGGGGCAGCCTTAGCCCCATTCAATCTGTGGGACTGAGTTCCAAGCAGGCTTGTTACAACACTGCTCTGAAATTAATCATGATAAACATGCTAGAACAGTGGTGATCTTGAGTATATAGCCTTTCTCTTTTCTTTTTCCAAGAATTCTTTTTCCAAGAATTCATTACCCGTTTTTTAAAAGACCCAATTATCTATAATACTCTAATTATCAATATGGTTTTTAAAATCTTTCTTTGAAGCACACACACACACACACACACACAGACACACACAGAGTGTGTCAGTGTGGTATAGTGATTAAGAGCGGTAGACTCGTAATCTGGTGAACCGGGTTCGATTCCCCGCTCCTCCACATGCAGCTGCTGGGTGACTTTGGGCTAGTCACACTTCTCTGAAGTCTCTCAGCCTCACAGAGTGTTTGTTGTGGGGGAGGAAGGGAAAGGAGATTGTTAGCCGCTTTGAGACTCCTTAAAGGTAAAGGTAAAGGAACCCTGACCATTAGGTCCAGTCGTGGCTGACTCTGGGGTTGTGGCGCTCATCTCGCTTTCAGATCGAGGGAGCCGGCGTACAGCTTCCGGGGCATGTGGCCAGCATGACTAAGCCGCTTCTGGCGAAACAGAGCAGTGCACGGAAACACAGTTTACCTTCCTGCCGGAGCGGTACCTATTTATCTACTTGCACTTTGACGTGCTTTCGAACTGCTAGGTTGGCAGGAGCAGGGACCGAGCAACAGGAGCTCACCCCGTCGTGGGGATTTGAACCACCAACCTTCTGATCGGCAAGTCCTAGGCTCTGTGATTTAACCCACAGTGTCACCCGCGTCGCTGAGACTCCTTAGGGTAGTGATAAAGCAGGATATCAAATCCAAACTCCTCCTCTTCTTCTCAAACAACTCTGCTTAATTTAAAACAGCTTAGGGCCACCGTCTTGGCTGCAAAATGGGGTGTTAATAAAAATGAAAACTATAAATCATATTACTCTCTTCCTCTACTCCATGTATTCTAACTAAAATTGACTTATGAACCACATGCCATAAGAGAGCCAGTTTGGTGAGAGCTAAACTGTGGTCTCTTTCTTTTTGCTGCCCTGCTACATCAGCGATCTGGGATTTGGAGCATGTGCAGAGTGCCCAGTTTGTTCTAACTGCCCACTGTTAGCTGCGCATCAAACCTGCACCATCTGTTATCAATCAATGAAGATAACAATGGTGTATCCAGTGTTCTTTAGCTCTGACCTGCCATCTCTCAGCAGCAAAGCTTCATCCTCAGCGATATAATTGGCCAAGAGGTCAGCAACTCTTCTTTTCTGGAAATGAATAAAGGTTGAGAAATGTGTCATCTGGGTTTAGCTACAGGCAAAGTCACAGTAGAAGAGAGGAAATTAGGGGTGTGAGCCCACAGGGTCTCAAAAAAGGGAGAAGAGAGTTGGAGATGGGGGCCTTGGGCAGCAATTCTGGAACAGGGAGCGTTTGCACGGTGCTAGGACTGGGATCCTGTGCAGAGTCCACAGTGACTGGGAGCATGCGCAGAGCGCAGCTGCTTTCTCCTGGGGCAGGGAGAACATGCGGAGCGGCTCAGCTTGCTCTCTAGGCCTGGTTTGATATTTATGTCTTCTAAATCACTCAGAGACCTCTGAGGCTGAGCCAGTTGGTTGTGTGGCAGTTAGAATGTCGAACTGGGAACCAAGAGAGAACAGGGTTTGAATCTCTGCTCAGCCACATGAAACCCATTGTGTGACTTTGGACAAATCCCTGCCTCTCAGCCTAACCTCCTTTGCAGGGATTCAACGAAGGTTACCAGATGTCCCCGTTTCCCTGGGACAGTCCCCGAATTTACAAATCAGTCCCCATACAAAATCCATTGAAGTTGAAAAGTGTCCCCGGATTCATTGAAAAAAAATCTGGTAACCTTAGATTAAACAAGGAAGGGGAAAACCCTGTCCAAGCCACCTTGAACTCCTTGGTGAAAGAAATGGAACAGAAATGCAACAAATAAATAATAATAAATAAACAAGAGACTAAAAAGCCTAGAAACGACGACAACAACAAACTGGGAGGTTGTGCAGATTTGTTGTGGTTTTTTTTTTTTTTGGGGGGGGAATTCATCATGCGAAAGGTGGGGCTGGATGAATCCCTAGCCGGAATTAAGATTGCCAGAAGAAATATCAACAACCTCAGATTTGCAGATGACATACAGTGGTGCCTCGCAAGACGAAATTAATTCGTTCCGCAAGTCTCTTCGTCTTGCGGTTTTTTCGTCTTGCGATGCACGGTTTCCCATAGGAATGCATTGAAAATCAATTAATGCGTTCCTAGGGAAACCGCCTTCAGACCAGGTCCGGGGACAGTCTGTCCCCGGACCTCTTCTGAAGGCTGGGGGGGGGGGAGACAAGGGCTTTTCTTCCCACCCCCAGCATTTTAAAAAACCCTGGGACAGCGGAGGACTTCTCCGCTGTCTGGGGCGATCTTAAAATGCTGGCGGGCGGCATTTTAAAATCGCCCCGGACAGCGGAGGACTTCTCCGCTGTCCGGGGCGATTTAAAAGCCCCTGGGAAGGCAGGCAGGGGGGACAAAGACTTTCGCCCCCTGCCCGCCTTCAGAAGGTGTTCCCGCCCCCCGCCCCGCTTCGGAACAGCGTTCCGAAGTGGGGCGGCTGGGGCAGGTGTCCCCGCCCCCCCTCCCCGCTTCGGAACAGCGTTCCGAAGTGGGGCGGCTGGGGCAGGTCTTCCCGCCCCCCTCCCCGCTTCGGAACAGCGGGCTAAGCGGGACCTCCCGCCGGGCATGCGAGGCTTGCCGACATCTGCCTGAAGCAGGGGGCGGGCTCCGCAGCTCACCCCCTGCTTCGGGATGCAGGCTGCCGCCCCAAGCCTTGCGTGCAAGGCTTGCCGGCATCTCCCCCAAGCAGGGGGCAGGCTCCGCAGCTCACCCCCTGCTTCGGGATGCAGGCTGCCGCCCCAAGCCTTGCACGCAAGGCTTGCCAACATCTCCCCCAGGCAGGGGGCGGGCTCCGCAGCTCACCCCCTGCTTCGGGATGCAGGCTGCCGCCCCAAGCCTTGCGCACGAGGCTTGCCGGCATCTCCCACAAGCAGGGGGCGGGCTCCGCAGCTCACCCCCTGCTTCGGGATGCAGGCTGCCGCCCCAAGCCTTGCGCGCAAGGCTTGCCGGCATCTCCCCCAAGCAGGGGGCGGGCTCCGCAGCTCACCCCCTGCTTCGGGATGCAGGCTGCCGCCCCAAGCCTTGCCCGCAAGGCTTGCCAGCATCTCCCCCAAGCAGGGGAGATTTTAAAATGCTGGGGGTCGGCAGCGCTTCGTTCCCGACCCCCAGCATTTTAAAACCTTCCCGGGACACGGGGAGATTTTAAAATGCTGGGGTCGGCAGCGCTTCGCTCCCGACCCCCAGCATTTTAAAACCTTCCCGGGACACGGGGAGATTTTAAAATGCTGGGGGTCGGCAGCGCTTCGCTCCCGACCCCCAGCATTTTAAAACCTTCCCGGGACACGGGGAGATTTTAAAATGCTGGGGTCGGCAGCGCTTCGCTCCCGACCCCCAGCATTTTAAAACCTCCCTGGGACACGGGGAGATTTTAAAATGCTGGGGGTCGGCAGCGCTTCGCTCCCGACCCCCAGCATTTTAAAACCTCCCTGGGACACGGGGAGATTTTAAAATGCTGGGGGTCGGCAGCGAACGCTTCGCTCCCGCCCGCCAGCATTTTAAGATCGCCCGGGGCAGGCGGGGGGAAGGCAGGTCCTCTTCTGAAGGCCGGCTGTGGGCAAAAGTCTTTGCTCCCGACCGCCAGCATTTCCCTATGGGCTTTCGTCTTGCGATGCAAGCCCATAGGGAAATTCGTCTTGCGAAGCGCCTCCAAAACAGAAAACCCTTTCGTCTTGCGGGTTTTCCGTCTTGCGAGGCATTCGTCTTGCGGGGTACCACTGTAACCTTGATGGCAGAAAGTGAGGAGGAATTAAAGAACCTTTTAATGAGGGTGAAAGAGGAGAGCGCAAAATATGGTCTGAAGCTCAACATCAAAAAAATGAAGATCATGGCCACTGGTCCCATCACCTCCTGGCAAATAGAAGGGGAAGAAATGGAGGCAGTGAGAGATTTTACTTTCTTGGGCTCCATGATCACTGCAGATGGTGACAGCAGTCACGAAATTAAAAGACACCTGCTTCTTGGGAGAAAAGCAATGACAAACCTAGACAGCATCTTAAAAAGCAGAGACATCACCTTGCCAACAAAGGTCCGTATAGTAAAAACTATGGTTTCCCCAGTAGTGATGTATGGAAGTGAGAGCTGGACCATAAAGAAGGCTGATCGCCGAAGAATGGATGCTTTTGAATTCTGGTGCTGGAGGAGACTCTTGAGAGTCCCATGGACTGCAAGAAGATCCAACCTCTCCATTCTGAAGGAAATCAGCCCTGAGTGCTCACTGGAAGGACAGATCATGAAGCTGAGGCTCCAAGACTTTGGCCACCTCATGAGAAGAGAAGACTCCCTGGAAAAGACCCTGATGTTGGGAAAGATGGAGGGCTCAAGGAGAAGGGGACGACAGAGGACGAGATGGTGGGACAGTGTTCTCGAAGCTACCAGCATGAGTTTGACCAAACTGTGGGAGGCAGTGGAGGACAGAGGTGCCTGGCGTGCTCTGGTCCAGGGGGCCACGAAGAGTCAGACACGACTAAACGACTAAACAACAACAAGATCCCTTGAACGCCTTTTTCCCCCTCCCCCCCCAATCTTCCCCTCCACTCACCTTGAGCACATTGAGCTGGCTGGGGTCGTCTCCCTCCCTCTTGAAAGACATGCTGCGCCCCCTTCACTCCTTCAGGCTCCGAAGACTGAGCAAGGAGCTGGAGGACTCCTCCAACACTTCCTGTTTTGGCCTCCAGAACTACAACCCCCAGCATGCACCTGGATGCCGGTCTCCTTCCTCCCTTCCCTTCTCAGCCAATCAGGCTTCAGGGATTTCCTAAGCAGGCTTGCGCAGCCAACGAAAATGGAGCACGCGCAAAACTCGATTTCCCAGCATGCCACGCGGCTTTCAGCTCCCTAAACCAGGCATGGCCAAACTTGGCCCGCTAGCTGTTTTGGGACTACAATTCCCATCATCCCTGACCACTGGTCCTGTTAGCTAGGGATGATGGGAGTTGTAGTTCCAAAACAGCTGGAGGGGCAAGTTTGGCCATGCCAAATGTAAATGTTATCAGAGAAGGGGCGAGGTAGAATCTGAAAAAAAGGAAGGAAGGAAGGAAGGAAGGAAGGAAGGAAGGAAGCCTAGTAAAGACATGTACCAACCATCTATCAATGATATTAGATGATAACATATATATTTAATATAATATATTTAATTAATATATTATAAATATATATTTAAATCCACCCTGTCTTTTAAAGTGTGTTTTAAATCAGAACTGCAAATTACATTATGCTGTTTCTCTATAAAGAAATTATTTGAAGGTGGGGTTTTTTGGTCCTTTTGATATTTATTATTGTCTTTTTACTGGGGTATTGTTGTTTTGTAAGTATGCTCATTGATGGGACCATATTTGTAGCCTGATGAAGAGTTGGATCTAACTAGGGTCCTCCTCAGAGCTAAGCCAGTGAAAAAACTTCAAATTAGCCATGTTGGTCAACTTCAGAGGGGCTACTCTGCTAAAAAACAACCAACCACCTTTGAGTGAATATAACCAAGCTTACTCTCAGGTAAGTGTGTAAGGAAAGTGCAACATAAAAGCCCCAGGAGAGGCCGGCTGCTAGGTCAGGCCAAGGGGAGGGCTCTAGTCCAGTGTGCTGTTCTCACGGTGGCCAAATGCTCCTATGAACCTTGTAATGCAGATAGACTGATTCTGGATCTGGAGGTTCCCTAAGGCCCCCCCAAGCAGGCCGTGTATAATTTGACTTATTTCATAGCACTGATATCCCACTTGATTGTAAAACAAACAAACCTCCAAGCGGTTTAGGAAAAGAATAAAGCAATTAAATTATCAGTTTTTAAAAAAATTAATAAAACCAAGTATTTAAAACATTCAAAATATAATTAAAGCCAATGGTAAACTAAAAAACCCCCAAACAAAACCAGATTAGAATGCATGCCATCATACTACATATGTGGATAATTTTATACACTTCTATCGTGTTGCCACTTCTCCAAACTAAAAGCCCCCAAATTTGCAACCTTTCTTTCTGCAGTTCCTTTGACCATTGTTTAGTCATTTAGTCGTGTCCGACTCTTTGTGACCCCCTGGACCAGAGCACGCCAGGCACACCTGTCTTCCACTGCCTCCTGCAGTTTGGTCAAACTCATGCTGGTAGCTTCGAGAACACTGTCCCACCATCTCGTCCTCTGTCGCCCCTTCTCCTTGTGCCCTCCATCTTTCCAACATCAGGGTCTTTTCCAGGGAGTCTTCTCTTCTCATGAGGTGGCCAAAGTCTTGGAGCCTCAGCTTCAGGATCTGTCCTTCCAGTGAGCACTCAGGGCTGCTTTCCTTAAGAATGGAGAGGTTTGATCTTCTTGCAGTCCATGGGACTCTCAAGAGTCTCCTCCAACACCAGAATTCAAAAGCATCCATTCTTCGGCGATCAGCCTTCTTTATGGTCCAGCTTTCACTTCCATACATCCCTACTGGGGAAACCAGAGCTTGAACTATACGGACCTTTGTCGGCAAGGTGGTGTCTCTGCTTTTTAAGATGCTGTCTAGGTTTGTCATCGCCTTCTCCCAAGAAGCAGGCGTCTTTAATTTCGTGACTGCTGTCACCATCTGCAGTGATCATGGAGCCCAAGAAAGTAAAATCTCCCACTGCCTCCATTTCTTCCCCTTCTATTTGCCAGGAGGTAATGGGACCAGTGGCCATGATCTTTGTTTTTTGATGTTGAGCTTCAGACCATTTTTTGCGCTCTCCTCTTTCACCCTCATTAAAAGGTTCTTTAATTCCTCCTCACTTTCTGCCATCAAGGTTGTGTCATCTGCATATCTGATGTTGTTGGTATTTCTTCCCGGCAATCTTAATTCCTGACTAGGGATTCATCCAGCCCAGCCTTTCACATGATGAATTCTGCATATAAGTTAAATAAGCAGGGAGACAATATACAGCCTTGCCGTACTCCTTTCTCCAAACTAAAAGCCCCCAAATTTGCAACCTTTCTTTCTGCAGTCCCTTTGACCATCAGAAGTCCTTATGAGAATCATTTTGAAAAAAAGCCATTAACTGGCTGGACTGCAATTCCCAGCTGCCCGTGGGTGAAATACCCCAAAATGCAACAGGGGTGAAGCTGCCGCCCCCTTTGAAAGCTCAGCCTTTGTTTTTCTGCTCCTGGAAGACTACAACTCCCGTCATGCTGCGGGAGGGACTTGCCTCTAAACAGGGAGCATGATGGGAAATGTAGTCTCGCGCCCTCCCCAGGCTCCCTTCCACCCCAGGCTGGGAGAAGGCTCACTTTGTGTGTTTGTGCATGTCTAAATGTGCAGCATAAACTGAAAATGTGGTGGGTGGCAGATTACTCAGCAGCCCCTCCCAAATACTACAACTCCCAGAAGCCTTTGCGAGAGCAGGTGGGAGGGCGGGGCCAGGGCTAGGCTGGGTTCTGTTTCAACTGCTTGCAACAGAAAGCGCAGCCGCCGGGCGTCCTGATGGTGATTTACTGGATAGGTTAGGGGGATTTTGCTTTGCAAGAGGGGGCGGAGGGGGGGGGTGATCTTTCAGAGGAAAAGCGGACCGACGTGGGAGCAGGAGATCCATTGGGGGATCTGGTATCTGGGAGAACAGGAGGAGGCTGGGCTGCAATGGGGTGTTTCTGAAAGTGAAAGCAGAGCTGCACTGAAAGGTTATATTTGGGGGGACGGGAGATTTTTGGGGGGACTGGTGAAGGGCGAAGGACGTGGAGAGGCTTCCTGGGTGGACACAGCCTTGCTCAGGGGCCGGGCCTTGAGGGTGCCTCCTGTGAAATGGGCCTATTTGGCTGCTGCAGGGGTTGGTGGCTGCAGTAGGATCAGCCCTTGAGAGGTCACCCTTTCCTGGCCTCAAGCTGGGGTCGTCCAGGTAAGGGGAGGGTTGGCAGCTGGGGGATGGCCTCTCCGTCCAAACAGGGGTCCCCTGGCGGGGCAGGGCTGCTGCACGGGAGCAGGACTCGATCCTACGGCAGCCTGGTCAAGACGGTCAGCTCACCAGTGCGAGAGAGGCGGCTGGAGCATCGGCTGGAGCCTGCGGACACCCTCCAGGGGTTGGCGGTCAAGTATGGGGTCACGGTGAGTCTGCTTAGAAAAGGGAGGGGGTCGTGATCCTTACACGTACGCTCAGAAATGGTGTGTACAGTGTTGCTGTTGCCGTTCATGTGTAAAGCCCTTAACAGTTTGGGACCAGAATTTTAACGGCGGTCGTCTTACCCCATATGCGCCGACTCTGCCCCATTTTGCATTTGTAAGAGCTCAGTCTTTGGAACTCCCTGCCAATTGATATTGGGCAGGTGCCTTCGCTGTACTCTCTTCAGTGCCAGTAAAAAAATATTTTTGTTTAGACCGGCCTACCCAAATGCTTAGAAAGGTGACGTGAGTTTTATTCTCTTTTTAGTCTACTGCTAGTTTAACTTTTTGAATATCTTAAATTATTGTTGCTAATTTTTCTTAGCAACAATTTCCTTTCCCCCCCTTTTTTGCAAACCACTTTGAGGGTTTTTTTGGGAGGGGGCAGGCAAGCAGTGTATAAATTTTATGAAATGAATAACATATTAAGCTATTACGTATACATATATACACATTAGGGATGCAGGTGGCGCTGTGGGTTAAACCACAGAGCCTAGGACTTGCCGCTCAGAAGGTCGGCGGTTCGAATCCCCGCGAGGGGGTGAGCTCCCCTGAAAGCAGTTCGAAAGCATGTCAAAGTGCAAGTAGATAAATAGGTACCACTCCGGCGGGAAGGTAAACGGCGTTTCCGTGCGCTGCTCTGGTTCGCCAGACGCGGCTTAGTCCTGCTGGCCACATGACCCGGAAGCTGTACCCCGGCTCCCTCGGCCAATAAAGCGAGATGAGCGCTGCAACCCCAGAGTCGGCCACGACTGGACTTAATGGTCAGGGGTCCCTTTACCTTTATATACACGTTATACTTACAGTTGAACAACTCGGGAGTAAGCATACATAGGACATCGCTGCATGGCACCACCGGCTTGTAGTTGCTCCATTTTCAATGTGCTTGTTGGTATAATATAGCTGGAAGGGGAAATTCCACCAGGTTCAGCTTATGCAATTACTCCGGAACTTTGAATGAAGGAAGAAGCATAGAAGCTGGTGGAAATATTCTTTCTGATACAACTTCTATGGGACAAGAGACATGTATCTTTTATTGATGCATTACCTGCTTATTCATGTACCAGCAGTAACTATAAGACCTTCCGTGTTAAGCACAACTGTCCTTGGACAAAGCCAGCTGATAAATCATTTTAACAGCAAAAAAATAAAATAAATATACACATATATAGGTGAGCTCAAGATTGACTCTAGAATGAAGGGGAGAACCGTCTCCTCCAGAAACCCCTGGAGCTGAGATGCCAGTTCCTTGCTGCGAAATGAGATATTGGAATCTGGCAGATAAATATCCACTACTGTTGAGATTCAGGAAGGGCCTTTTCAGTAGAGGTCTTTGTTGTTGTTGTTTAGTCGTTTAGTCGTGTCCACCTCTTGGTGACCCCCTGGACCAGAGCACGCCAGGCCCTCCTGTCTTCCACTGCCTCCCGTAGTTTGGTCAAACTCATGCTGGTAGCTTCGAGAACACTGTCCAACCATCTCGTCCTCTGTCGTCCCCTTCTCCTTGTGCCCTCCATCTTTCCCAACATCAGGGTCTTTTCCAGGGAGTCTTCTCTTCTCATGAGGTGGCCAAAGTCTTGGAGCCTCAGCTTCATGATCTGTCCTTCCAGTG